CTTTCTCTCTTTCTCGTTTTATACATACACAGATTATACAATTGATCTTTTGTATACAACTGCTTTCTTTTGTATATGTATAGCGAATTATACATAGATATGTTTGCTATAGAGCATAATTATGCAAACTTTGCTATAGCATACAAATATGAATTTTGTGTTTGCTATATGTGAAAGTTGCTCTTTTAAATAAATGATCACTTTAGCCCATTAACTGTCAATTATCTACAATTATCTATCAATTAATTAACTCAAGTTAAATGAATAATCCAAATTTCCAAAAATGACCTTTCGGGTCATTACATGTACCATGTTGATAGGAGATAGCAAGTATCTAATAGAATAATTGATGTTCGCACAAGTTGATCCAACCATCATAATCTTGTAAGGGAAAAAAAAAGACGATCTGGTGTACAAAACATTCAAGTTATCATAAATCTAAGTCCCAATCCCACTTTTTGAGTTTTCCTTCTTCATATCTATACTTGCAACTTCAATATCGCCTCTGAGTTGGTTTCACATAATAATTTGTCATTACAAAACAAGGATTCATATAAGACATAATAAAGTTCTTACCTAACATAGATAGGTCCACCACTCAACACCCTCGCTGAGCCATGATACTCAGCCGCTGGATGAAGAGAGTGGAACATGTCCAATGATCAGGCTGCATAATTTCTCCAAGGAACTAACACATTGTTGTATGCCACACTAGCAATGTGAACTATTGGATCGATCGGTTGGATAAAAGTCATCGAGTTTTGAGAAATATTTTCCTTACTTCAGGTATGACTCATTTTCCAACATTTAAAACATGAAAGAATTAGAAATTATTTTTCGAAACATATTTCCCTTCGTACCAAACAACCATATTCGAAATATTTCTCTTTAGCTATACTAACAATATTTTTAATCCCAACCGTTGGATCTTCCTTATTCCGAAATTTTTCATTTTCCTTTATCCCTGTTAGACCTGGGAATTGTTAGAGTGGGTAAAAGTTTCACATTGGTTGCGGAATGGACTAGTGGTCTCCTTATATGGACTTGGGCAATCCTCTCCTCATGAGCTAGCTTTTGGGGTTGAGTTAGGCCCAGGTGCCATATCTTTACCAGGATCACCACCACCAACGGAGTGCCACCCGTCGTCAATGATGATGAATTTTGGCTGGAAACCACCGGTGCTGAGACTTTCGAGGCCGGCTTCCAGGATTCCCCTGAAGAACAACTTGAAATGAATCTTCGATTATTGGAAGGAAAACAACACATAATATTATTGTCATTGTTGTTGCTAGATTCAAGTGGTGACAAAAAGTCAAAGTGGTTCAACATCTACTATATATACACATAATTTAAACATTGATCCTACCTGGCTCTGCCTCTAGATTAGAGGTGATCATATCCATATTTGATTTCGACTAGGAGAAATTGTGTTTCCATTGGGATTTCACTTCCTCTGTTTCCCATTTTCTGATCTATCCACCATAGTTTGAATCTGAAACAAGAAAAGAACAGTACATCTTGTAATTTTCCGAGTGGCACAACATGTCGATTGTTGTCTTGATCGAATTCTGCACCAAGAAATACACCTTCTGATGGACTTGATGCAGTACCAGAAGTTGTTATTTCATTGCCCGTTACATTTGTTAATATTGTTCTGTCTTTCACCAAGAGTCTCCTGTCAAAAATCCTTATCGTTGGAGTGATGATCGCCATGGAGCGTGGTGTCTACTCCTTTTGCTTCTTCCTCCTCCTCTTCGACCTCATTCTCTCAAACTCCTTTTGAATTATGATGGAAGGACAAGATTAGCCTTCTTAGGTTCGAGTTTTGAGTACAAAGTCAACTTTGTTAGGAACACTTCATCTCGATATAGGTAAATAACTCAATATTCAATCAGGTGCACCATAGTAGGGATGTCAACAGATAATATTATACTAATTTTAGAAAATATATACATAATATACCTAGTTTTATGAAGATTCTACGAGTTCGCGTACTCTATATTTAGGCTATAAATTCGCGTCTAATGAGATTTTATGAGCAAGAATTGAAGTGGGAGGTGATGAAACAGAGAATCAAAAAAGATTAATGGATTTGGTGAATGAGTAAGAAGAATGGGTTCTTGAAGAAGTGAAGAATCATGGGATTATGGGGTTTTGGTTTTGGATTGGAGTATTTATAGAAATCAACTTAAACATGATTGGTGATTTTAATTTGGTCTGCCACTTAAACTTATATAAAGTTAAATAAGTAGACATACGTCTTCATTCTCCAATTCTGGGTGTGGACAAGTAGGTATATAATGAATAAGTAGACACACACGTCTTTCATGATAATTTGCTATTCTACATGTATTATGTTGCGTAGGAGTACGTGTGTGTCTACTTGTTCAACTTTATATAAGTTTAGTGTCTACTTGTACAAATCAAAAGTTGAAGGGTGTAGATGTCAAATAAGGCTAAGTTAAACAGCACGTTTATGTATTATGCCAAAATACGTTGATATTTATTGACCTAATAATTTGGCTTACATTAGTTTGCATTGTATCTTTATAATCTTGCATTGGTATACATTGATCCATATTTCCTAATAAATTATATACATTTGTCTGCATTTGGATACATTGATCCGTTTTCACCTAACAAATTTGTATATATATATGGAATGAAATAATTGGATCCCTAATTATTTTTTGCTAATACACTCTACCAAACGACGCATAAGTGAAATAAGGGAAACAAAATAATAGAAGAGAATGAACTTAATAAAGCCCATTACCTAGTAAGAAAGCCCCATTAGCCATTGCACCAATAGCCATTTATAGGACTGTTCTTTAAAACATAATCAGTATTTGCAAAGTATTTAAATTTTAGCCATTGCTTCTTCTTTAGCAGCTTCAATCTTCTTCCATGCTAATCTACTTAATGTAAATTACAAAGCATAAGCGTAAAAACAGAAATTGCTTAAAGGAATTTTTCATACCATTTCAAAACTTCAAAACTCATACGTCCTGAAATTTTAATCGTTTACAATAGTTTAATATTTTTTCATAAGAATTTCTCTCAATAGATACTTATGAAGTGTATAATATTTTTAAAAATAATTATTTTTGGCTGCATGATTAATATTCCCAAAAAGGTCCTATTACCTTTATATACTTGATAATTACCAAGTTCCTTTAGACAACTATTATGAAAAATCTTTCTTGAAAAAAGAAAAAAAAAAATCTTCTTCTTTTAGTGGGTAAAGAATCAAGACAAATTCCATTATTCCATCTATGCATGAAAACAAAGCAAAGTATCTAATGCTGTAAACATAGTCATTATTAAATCTTCTTTTACATAAATTCCAACACTAAAAATTCTTTCGTTAAAAGATATTATAAATGGTCGTTTGGTTGCTGGTTAAAATGTGATTTATTTATATATTAGATTTTGTATAACTTGTATTATAGTATACATAATATAAAATATAATAACTAATGCATGACTTATCAGAGTCAGCGTTAAATGTGGGCAATTCAAACTCTTTTCAGTGAAAAAATACATTATATATATAATGTTTTAATTATCTTTGATGTATATATAGAAATTGTTGAATTTTCTTAGCTACTTTGTATGTTTACCTTTTAATATTTTAAACTTCAAATGATGATCGGTGATTCTTTAGTGAAAATTTTGACATCACATGATTAACTTTTAAAAAAGTATCAGCTATTGTAATCTAGTATTTATCATTTCCTGCTGGCCATAATGTTGAGCAAGTCAAAATAATTTAATAAACAAAAAAATCAAGAAATATTCTCTGCCTTTATAAAACGTTTTCTAGTCGTTTTGACTCTTATAGAAAGTAAAGTAAGTAAGAATTTGGAATATTTACAAAAGGAATCAAATGAAAAAGCTTCTTTTTCTAGTGAATGCAGTTTTGGAAGTTTTGGTGGTCTCTTTTTCTTGTTATTTTCTGTCCATCCAAAGTCACATGAGAAATAATTAATATCTTATAAAAAAAATATTGTCGATGTCCGGTACTCATATCGGAGCTCAACTAAATTTGGATTTGAATCGGAAAGTTTCACATTAGGGTAAAACGTTCCTTGACAAAGGCGAGTTCATATTCAGGGGGATTTAAACCCGAGAACTCTGGTTAAGGATGAATGAGTACTTATCACTCCACCACAACCCTTGTTGGTCATATAAAGCTATTAAAGATAAAGATGATTTTTTTTATTATTTTACCTTTAATATTAACTATTGATTTAAAATTATTTTTCAAGTTCACTAAATATTATACATCAACTAATATAGATATCATTATAAAAAATTGTTTTTTATTTATGAAGTGTTCAAAATTTATTGTGAACTTGTAAAATTAACAAAGAGAGAAAGGACATGTTTGGATCGTTTTATTAAAAGTAACTTATAAGTCAAAAACTAAATTTTTTAAGTAAATTGTACCTTACTTTTGGATTCTGACTTCTTTTTTTAAAAAAAAAAAAATTGATCTAAAAATGAGTGCTTAAAATCACTTTATAACTTTTCCAAATAACTTCAAAATTTAAAAAATATTTAAAAATAAAAAATACCTAAAAATAAATTAATCCAAACGAGCGATCAAAGAGAAACTATGAAAGTTTGTTGTGGAAAGTGATGTTTTGGTATTACATTGAAGATTGTGGGGTATATGGTGTAACATTTACTTGCAATAAAGATGAGGGAATGTTTTTTTTCTTTAATATTGACGAGTATAATAATTTCTTTTCATGATTAAGGCAAATTGTAACGGGCAGAATAATAGAAAGTTATGCTGTCAATTTTATTACTATTATAATTTTTCCTTTTTTAAAAAATATTTAATAAGTTCTTAAATTTTATCATTGAGCAAAGAGTATGAAAATTTCTTAGGGAATAAAATTGTATGCATGTCATTTTTTTTCATTTTATTTGTAGAATTACATTAAATATGTTATTGTTCTTATTTTTATTTTAATATTTTACGTGGTAAATTTAAGACCACAAGAAAAATTATACATATTTTTAATTTAAGATTATAAGATTCAAAGTTATGGTGATTGATGTACTGACGCATCATATCTAATGAAATGTGTCACGGAGTATGATATATGTCGACGATATAATTTTAATTGACGAGACACATGGTGGAGTTAATGATAGGCTGGGAGTTTAGAGATGGACTTTAGAGTCTAACGGGTTCAGATTGAGCAAGAGTAAGAGCATGTTTGGACTGACTTTTAGTTTTGACTTATAAAACAAATCATAAGTTATGACGACTTTTGGTTAATATTTATCATTTAAGCTTAAAACCAAGTGCTTATAAGAACTTTTTAAATTTATCCAAACATTTCAAAAGTGCTTAAAAGCACTTAAAATACGTCAGTAAGAATTTGGAGTGCAAGCTCAGTGACGTAACTTACGTGGCAGATCTAGAAGTAAGGATTGACACACAAGACATGGAGGTCGAGAATTAAAATAGAAAACTAATAGTTAATCAAGTATTATCCAGTTCTCTTATCAGTATTTACAATATCTTTTGCTTCAATTATCATATTATTTTTTATTGTTACTTGTTCTCTTCTTAGTTATTTTTCAGCAAGACTTTTTCATTATTATATTTGTTCTAAGCACTTAATTTTTATATTTTTACTCAAATCGAGGGTCTTATAAAGAGAACAATCTATTTACCTTCACAAAGCAGAAATACGACTATTTATACACTACCCTTTCAAACTCTCCTTAAAACTTATATAGGGTATATTGTTATTCTTAAAATTCAAGAATCCCTCTTTATTTTCTAAAATATTCGTGATTGACTGAACTAGGACATCTAAATTAAAACGGAGGGAGTAATATAATCCTATATATATTTAATTAGAAAAAAATCCTATATATGACTTTAGGTTTTAGTGTAACGTACAAGCAAGATTTAACTTTAAAAGTAGAAAAATATTAATTTAATTAAATTCTAGACCCCCCACCCCCAACTCCCCACCCACTACCATCACTCTCCAAAATTGATGGAAGCAACGCGTTTAGAGTTGAAATAATTTATACTTATTTACCATTTCACGCGTTTTTTTTTTGGATCAACATTCAAAAATTAATACTCCTACCGCTCTATTTTACGTGACACACTTTCCTTTTTAATTCGTTCCAAAAAAAATATTATCTTATTATAAATTTTAAACTACCATTTACCCTTAAAAATTGTTTTCGATCATAAATTTCAAAAGTTTTTTTTTTTTTTTTTTACTTTAATATACCAATAACAAATTAAGTTGTGTCACACCAAATGGGACGGAGGAAATATACTAATGATAATAAATATAAAAGTTAAAGCAAAATCACCAAACAAACGCGTTATATTTTCTCTTTACATATTTTAATTTCATTTTACAAAACTACTCAAAAACAACTCAAGAAGCCATTTTTTTCATTGTTCTGTTCCATTGAAATCTCTCAAGAATCAAGAAAATGTTGACAATTAGCCTTCTCTTCTTAGCATTTCTCTTCATTCTTGGTTTAATCACAACCCTTTTCAATTTTCCCACTAAAAAGTTTCAATCTTGGATCTTTTCCCTCTCTGTTAAACCTCAAACCCTAACCCCAACAACCCCTTTTGTCAATAAAGATTCAATCTTGGTTGAAAAGAAGAGCTCAAAACTTGAGTTGAGGGGTATTTTTGCAACATTTGACAAGAACAATGATGGGTATATAACAAAACAAGAATTGAAACAATCACTTAAGAATATTGGGATTTTTATGGAAGATGGAGATATTCTTGAAATGGTTGAAAAAGTTGATTCTAATAAAGATGGATTGATTGATATTGATGAGTTTTATGAACTTTGTCATAGTTTTTTGGGAATTGAGAAAGTTGTTAGTGAAGAAGAGGGGGGAGTGGAGAAAGGGGAAGAGGAAGAGGGGGATTTGAAAGATGCTTTTGATGTGTTTGATTATGATAAAGATGGATTGATATCTGAGGAAGAATTGAGTAAAGTGCTTTCATCTTTGGGGTTAAATCAAGGTAAGAGATTAGATGATTGTAAAGAAATGATTAGGAATGTTGATGTTGATGGTGATGGAATGGTGAATTTTGATGAATTTAAGAAGATGATGAAAAATGGTGGAAGGCTTATTCCAATTTTAAGGGGAAATTCCATTATGTTACAAGATTAATCACCAGTGTTCTCGCTTACCCTCCAGCGTGACTTGAACACTCAATTCACGTGATATCCTTTTTTTTTCATCCCAACCACAGCATGATTAATAGTGTTTTCACTTATTCTCTACCCTCAACCCTTAGTGTTTTCACTTACCCTCCAGCATGACTTGAACCCTCAATTCATGTGATATTTCTTCTTTTTTTCCATCCCAACCCCAGAATGATCAAAAGTATTCTCATTTATCTTCCACATGACTCGAATCCTTTGGTCTTAGTGTATTCACTTGCTCTTCAGCATGACTTGAATCCTTTGGTCTTAGTGTTTTCATTTGCTCTTCAGCATGACTCGAATCCTTTGGTCTTAGTGTTTTCACTTGCTCTTCAACATGACTCTGTCAATCTTAATGTTTTCACTTACCCTCTAGCGTGATTTGAACCCTCAACCTAGGTATTGGTCAATGATGAAGGTGATCAACTACTTGAGCAAGGTTCACTTTTCTAATCTTCAAGATTGTACAAATAGGAAAAAGAACTTGCATTGAGTGGGATTGTATAGTAGTTAGTTACTTTTTCTTTTGTTTCTCTTAGAATTTGCTTAAGTTTAAGATTGGATCTAGGTCTAGTTAAGTCAACTAAGATTATTTGTTTTTTTTTCTTTAACTAGTTGGATTAGAGAAAATTAAGAAGCATCATCACACTTGTGGTTCTGTATTTGATCAGATTGTGTTGTTTTCAGAGCAGACAAGTTTTATGGTTGTACTGACACACTATATGTTTGTTTATTAATTGATTTGTTTTTTTTTTTTGCTTATGGTACTTGTTAATTCATGTTCAAGTAAAGTTCTTTATTTAGACAAAAAAATCATATTGTAGATCTTGATACTTGCAACTTTTCATATGCAATTGTAGAATAGACAAGTGCTAAGGTTTTGGTATGGCTACTAATTTGTTGCTATGAAATTTTTAGCATAACATTTTGACAAATGACTTGAACCGTGATAATAATTTGGTTTTACTATATGTTGTTTCTCGTATTTTTGTTACTTTTTTTTTTAAGCCGAGTGCTTATTTGAAACAACTTCTCTATTTTTGTAATAATACGGACAAGGACTTAGACTGACTATATTATTATTGTTGTGATAAAAATTTGATCAAAGAAGATGACTTTGTATATATTTAATTTTCCAACTCTTTAACGGCACTATAAAAAGAAAACCAGAAGAAGTCTCATAACTAAAAGTTTGGTAAAACCAAAAATACTCAAACGGTATCACCAAAAGATATGGTGCAGTGGATGAAGTTATTCCTTCTTTAATCAGAGATCTCGAGTTCGAGTTATGGGTATGAAAAAAAATCCTTAGTAGGAGACATTTCCCTAGTCAAGCTCCAATGCAGGTACTTAACAGCGGATGATTTCAGCATAACGGTAACCATTATGTTGAAAATTGAGGAGTATTTGTCTTTATTTCACCTGAGACTTTAAAGGTAGACTTTGAAAATACTTGGTTCTCAATTGAAGTTATTGGGTGGCATATCATATAAATTCTAGACCAAGTCTAGTCTCACAAGTTGATGACTTGCAACCACAAAACATTTGACTTATTAATATGATTGTGACATTTCAAAGTCTCTCTGTGTCTTCACAAAGTCATCTCAACTTTTCAATGAAATTGTAGTTGCCGTATGATTAAAGGGTCAAAAGCCTCTAGAGAAACCTAGTCCAATTTGACAAATCATTTATCATGCAAATTATCTCACCAGAATTTATGTGTTATATAGCGAAACACTATAAGAGCAGCGATTGGAGCCTCGGGGGTGTCGGAGTTGAAATGGTCAAGGCCCAAGGGGTAGGAATTGAAGGTGTTGGATGGGTGGAGAAGATACAGTAAACATAGAATGTCATTTATAGAAATTGTTTTCCCTACTTTCATTAGAAATTTAGTCTACCAAACATAAAAAAATAAGAAAACATGTTTGAGTTGGTGTTAATGTGGATATGGAGTAACAAATACAATAATGATGGTTTAAAAAAAGAGTTTGAGTTGGTGTTAATGTGGATCTCAAATCTAGGAACACCCACACACGATAAAGAAATCTAAACCACTTGTAACTATAATTAGTTGAGGCGATATTTCAACTACTAAACTTTTAAAACAAAGCACAAATTTTGAAGGACACAATGTTTTTAGGTAAAGTAGAACATCTATCCTTAAACTTGTCAGTAAATTTTATTATTAAAGCACTCAGATTATTTTTACTTTGATTGAACACCTAAAAACGTAATGAAGTGTTCCTATTACACACTTTCAATTAAAAAATTGTGTATTCTTGAGCACTCGTTACGTAATTAAGTTAACCACTTAAATGTGTCATATCCTCCAAGTATTCACATTAGCCTTCACAAATTGTTAAGCCTCATGCTTGTTTAAATTGAAGCTAATGTTTATAATCAAAGGAGGTAGCATAATTTATGTAATTAACTTATAGTAATAGACGCTTGAGAATACACACAAAAACTTCGTAAGTTTTAAGGGGAAAAGAAGGTGGATGTGTTCCGCAGAGGACAACTACAACTGGGACCGTAAAGGAGTTGGAGCTAGGAGGTCATTTCAACTACCTAACATATGCAATAGAACATAATATCCCGCTTGTAGAATTACACTGGGTATATTGTTGTTGTTGCAACAGAGCCGAGTATATCGAATTAAAACATAATCTAACAGAATGCTAATTATAAGTCAAATAGTTTCTTATCACTAATAAAAGACCAGAAAAGTATAAACTCAATTGTCTAATTTGAAGTACCAACAGAAAAGCAAGTAAAACCATGTCTAATTACTTACTTTGATACTATAGCTACCCTTTGGCTTATAACAGCACCAGGTGGCTTCAACAAGAAAACACATATTCTGGCCAAGTATCATCCCAAAAATTATGTGTTGCTTATAGCTATGGTAGGACATGACTATTGCTATCCTATCCATTAATGAGGGCATAATACACATTAAAAGACATCGGGATGGAAACGCCCGGGGATAGAGTTCCCTTGTTGCGCCTGCTTGAGATGCATCGTCAGTGCATAGTTATTGACCTGATCACAACAGAAAAGGGCAATCACTTTGTCATACATGAGAAATGGCATGAGGGAACTGAAGACTTTCACACTTCAAACATTTATATGCGGCATCTAAATACACATGAGTACAACTATCTCTTTAACAATAAAGTTTCTATGTTGGAAAGACAGAGATCGCGGCGGCGGGGGGGCCAGGTAGGGGTAAGGTTCCAAACCCCTTCGGCAGAAAATTACTATATACATACAAGGGGTTAAACTTATTTTTTATATATATTAGTACGTGCTGAATCCCTTTGGCTTCTTTGTGTACTTACTTGCCTGTTGATATTTTTGAATCACCCTAATGAAAATCCTGGTCCCGCCATTCCTCTTTCTATAGTTTGAAGCATGCTTGACAACCAGATTTTAGTCCTCATATCTCTTTTCTAATTTTTATCTTTGTTCCCATATAGTATAAAACATGTAATAAATTTGAAGAGGGTAATCTGACCTCAAGCGTTCTCAGCTGCTCCTGATACTGAGCCACCATCTGCTTCAGCTGATTCACCTCATTCCCTCTATCTTCAAACTCTTTCTGACGCTCATGTTGAACAGCAAATGCTCGCTTCAAAATATTATTTTCTTGTAGAAGATCTTCTACCTGCTGTTTGAGCATTATGTGTTCCTGAATAATTACATAACAATAAATGTATAGATATTTCACCTTGAGGAAGCGTAACTATAAATGTAGAGATATGGAATAACACTTCTTTTTCAGAAATGGCAAGTCTTTTGATGTCAAAAGCCAACACTAAGAAAGTCAGAGTACCATCTTTTAAGTCCACAAAATTTAAAGAGAATGAGGTAGAGGTGGCCTACCAAAATAAGATCATTAGCCTGGAATAACAGTGCATCTACAGCCCCAATCCTAACAAACACTGATATTTGGGGCTTGCTTGTTGGGGTGAGGGGAAAGGAGGGGAGAAGAGTAGCCATAAGGAAAGAACACTACTGATCTATACTAATAGCTAGACCATCAAACATTAATTCCTCGACCATTGAAACTTTTTTTTTTTTTTAAGAAAGGTAACAGAACCATCTAAACATCAATTGATGTTTTGCTTTACATTCTGCGTAAAACACTACTTGAATCTCATTGTGTGTCTGCTTTCCATATTTTTATGCAACAATTGATGTTGCTTCTCAACATCTACATCCTATTGAGGACCTCCAAAAAATACCGTGCCCATATCAAGTGAGAGACTGATGAAGCAAATAAAACAACAGATTACACCAGCTGAACCCAGTCATCAATGGCATGACAATAAAAATAGAAAAACAAAGAAGAAAACAGAGAGCAAAGTGTTCTCAGACGAGATAAAGTCAAACAGTTCTGAACTACCTGCTGGAAATTTCGAGCTGCTGCCTCTGTTGCACGGGCACAAATGGACTTCTCAAAGGCCTCAAGAGCTAGTGAAGCACGGGATTTAGCATCATCTATATTTGAGGCACTCGTCATCTCTCTAACAAACAGCTCCACCCATTCAGTACGCTCCATCCTGTACAGTTCTTTTGCTACAGATGAGCATGGTGTGGGCCCACCATTACCTGCACCAAAATGTGTAAGGGGACTACCAGTATAAAGAGACCCTGAGCTAGTGAACTTCAAAAACATCCCACAAATGTACTGATACACCAAAAGAAAAATGGTAAAAGTATCAACAGAAAGGGAGCTCAGGGGGACATCACTCATCATTTCAGTAAAAGCATGTAATAAGGCAATACCGGTCGCAGTTTTATTTCATTGTAGCAGCGGGTTAACTTCAGAACTTTTCAGGTCCCCCATCTTTCTCAACAGGGTCTCGAAGCACAAAATAAGTAGTGGAACATCCATGGCCTCAGCTCACTCAATTGAGAAAACAAGTGTCCGGGGCAAACACACGTTTCAGTCCGGTGTCAGGGTCTTACAGTAAGGCAATTTGGTGAAAGTAAAGTGCTTTAAAGAAACAAGACATTTCTCTTAAAATCAACTAAAGAGATAACTCATGACAACAAACCCATATTAATAAATGAACAACTATGTTGGGCTTCAAGGGACTCTGATTGCCATATCAACATTTTGACAAGTCAAATACAAGCAAAGAAAAGATATTTTAAAATAACTACTCATTATTTTCTTTACATTTCTATACAACCGCTTCTCCACCACAACCAAGAGTAAATAATTAAGTAATGCCTTAAATTCAATAAATATGCACCAAAGTCGGTAAGTAATAAAGTAGTGCAGAAATTTACCATAAACAACTGTGGAAGTACTAAATTTGTGAAACAGAATCGAGCAAATAAGTCAGAAAACGTTGACCACAGTCGACTAAATTCTCCAATTAAAGGGTGCAGAAAACACTAGCTACGTGACACTTCTGGTAAAAATGGTAAGCAGTTGTTAAGCCTGCACGAGATAAAAAATTGGCATAGAATTGTGATACACAAAAATAGCACGAGGAGTGCTCTGCCAGGATACTAACATACATTTTCAACCATGTGAAAAAAACAAACACACATCAGATTGGACAAGAAAGGAACAGGGTATTAGATTGATCAATGAAAACGTCACATAAATTCACTGGATAATGTATACTACAGTACTACTTAACAAACATCTAGAGGAAGCGAATTATAATTCATACAAACTACAAAAAAAATACAAAATAATTGACACGTGTATATAACTCGAGTCACATGATCACTTACCACAAGAAAAAAACAAAAAGAAGAGAAATCTCAATTGCACAATTATCTTGTTCTGCAATGATTTTTAGATAGCACATGATTATTGCACACAAACAAAGGATGTCACAAGAGAACCTACTTGAAGTCATTCCCCAAGTTCCAGTCAAAAAAGATTCGAAGAGGGAAAAAATGAAACATCGGAAATAAGAATCAAACTAAATACTGATGTTTACCTTGAGTTAAGATCGGAATGCCGTTGTCCTGGGTAGCATCAGATCTTCCTGGGAGGGGCCCCAAATTCTCAGCAGACCCCAAGCGAAGCTCATTTAATCTTTTGATGGCAGAATCCAGATCACCACATTCATCCAGAGCTCTCTCAAGCAACTAAAAAAAGTGCATCTCAAGGTTAAATTCTCCCTTTACAGGATAAAGAAAGTCTGATCAAGAAAAGCTATACAAAAATATGCCATACAATTAGATATCTAGATCATAGAAATGTAACCGGAAACTAAAACTAGCTTCTACAAATCAATCCTATCAAAACCTAAAACCAACAACCCCATAGATTACTCCCTCCGTTTCACAAAGAATGGTCTAGTTTGACTTGGCACGGAGTTTAAGAAAATAAAAAAGACTTTTGAATCTTATGGTCCTAAATTAAAGTTATGTCAAATGTACCAAATTGTCCTTTAATCTTGTGGTCTTAAACATGCCACGTGGAAAGCTGAAATTAAAATGTTACCAAAAAAAGAAAGAGGTCATTCTTTTTGAAACAGACTAAAAAGGAAATGAGGTCATTCTTTTTGAAACGAAGGGAGTATTTTTTTTAAAAAGTAGAACCACAAAATTAGATCCATCAATGATATCACTAGATGAAAACCATTAGACAACATACCATTTTTGGATCAATCGGAATGGATAGAAATCCACATAAAACAAAACAATGATTGTGAATTTCAAATCCACGTATCAATATTAGTAGAAGAAATTGGAAAAAACTTCTGAAAAAACTAGGAATCATCAATTGAAGAATAAGTAACAACTCTAGTAGGACTTAGATGAAATGTGTTTCTTAATAATTTATACCTACACTTTATAAGGTAACAAGGCTTTGGATTAGGCTAAAGTCAACATACAAATTGTAAATGACACCTATTAAGAATAAGCTGGAAAATGTGCACCTCTTTAGTTCTTTTATAAGTTCCTCTTTTTGGGGGTAAGAATTCTTTCAAAAGTTGAAAGGTATTTGGAGTATTGTAACAATAAGTTTTTGCAATATTTTTAGATACTACAAAACCTTATTACGTTACCAGAGCAAAGGCCTTTTTTCTCTCTTTGAGGAAGCACCGACCTTCACAAAACTAATGCTATGTCATTGGTGTTTGCAAAGATGTCCCTTTTTGTTCTTTATTAATCATACAATGTGTATTTGAAACTAGAGTTGGCGGGTGAGCAATTTCTTACAGGATTTCATCAATTCTAAAACACTAAACAAAAGATATAATGAACCTGATCGAGTGACTTCCATCATGGAATGTTCTAACACGGTACAAGTACAAGTTTTTACAGTTCTCCTTGCACAAGACAAATAGATCAAATAATAAGAAGACCACTAACTTCACTACAGTCTACAACTATTGTAGAAAATTCGCTCTCCCTTCCCCCTAATTCCCTTTCTTTTTTTTTGGTTAGAATCAGATGTTGAATGATTTCATGAAAGTTGTCCTTTCATGGTTTGGTCTTAGGAAAAAAACGACAAAAACTAATAATAAAGGAGATTACAACTCTTGCACTAATAACTTTACCGCCTAATTGTTCATATTGTCAACACACTATGTTGCTCGTACTCTTCAAAATCCTTGTCGCACTTGTGTTGACATGAGACGGTAGGGGTGTAATTGTGGATCCACACAAGATTCGGTCAACTTACCTTAGGTGCTTTGACTACATCTATGACCGAAAAGTACTGATTGATTGTCATCTATGACCATGAAGAATGTTTGCTATTATTTGAGATATTTTATTAATAAAAATGTCTCTCTTCCTTCACAAGGTAGAGGTAAAGTTGTGTAAACACCACCCTCCCCGTACCCCACTTGTGGGATCACACTGGGTTGTTATTGTATCTTATGACATAAGGAATTTAATTTTGTTAGTTTTAGTCAATAGCTTTGATTAATCAAGATATATACTTTACATACTTGTTTTTTATATGTTTTACTTGAGTCGAGCGTCAATGGGAAACACAACTTCCCTAACTTCACAAGGTAGGAAAAAGGTTGCATACACTCCACCCTCCTTAGACTCCACTTATGAGATTACACCAGGTATGGTGTTGTTGTTGAAGTTGTATGCTAGCACCCGTATCCACACTCAGATTCATTCCTTGAATCCTAAAATTTATGTGATGATGAATCATGAATCCAACCTTTGGATTTGTACATGTATTAGATACCCACACTCAAGTCAAGCAACTTAGGTCAAGCATAAAACTCTTTTGAATAAGACTCCCATGGTTATTTTACAATTTTCATACGAGACTTGTAGTCATCATTATTTTATTTTTTAGAATGGTGAAGTTTTTATACATAAAGTTGACTGCACAAGTTGTGTGGTCAAACCAAAACTTTTAGAGTTTCAAGGGGTATCCTACCTCCTCGCCTATAAAATTGTAATGTAATCTAAAACATTAAAAATATATTTTGCCTCTCCTATATATACTTGTTTACATCAAAAGTAATAAAGGACAAGACTTCATCTACAACGTCAGGATAGAGCATCCTTTATCTTCAAAGCATCTCTGATTTTTTCCTTCCCATATTCTCCAAATGCATGTTGGGACAATAATCCATCTCTTTCTGATGGGGCAATCTACCCTACTAAAACATCCAGTGTACTTTTTGGCATTACCTATCCAATTCCCCTATTTTTGATGAATATTTTCCACAATTTATCTACCCATTCGCAGTATAGAGAGAGACAGTTGATTGTCTCTGCTTGCTCCCCAATTAAATAACATCTGGAACATAGCCAATAACCCCTTCCAGTTAAGTTGACCTATATATGGACAGTCTTTTATGCCAGTAACCAAGTAAAGCAACTATTTACCAACTCACGTACACCTCGACTATTCCACTGATTGCTTGTTATCTCCCGCCAGCAAAGATACCGTGTAATTCTATCTACCAAAGCTTAGGCAAATGGGATGAAATCACTATGGACTCGAACCCTGATCTTCTATGGTTTTCATCCACCGTTAGGCCACACCCTTGGGTGTCAAGATGCATTTTTCCTTCTGATGTTGCCCTCCATTCCCTCTTACTTACCTTCTTCACTATTCCATCATAGAAACATGAAACTCCAAATGGGTTTTTTGAAATAAACACCCATAAGACCAAAGATACCTCACATGGAAAAGTTGTGAAAAGAAAGCATAATAGTGACTAGAGTTTTTACCAACTAATATAAGATTAAACTAGTAATCATCGTAATGCCAATCTTAAAGGGGAAGCACCCACCACAAATACAAGAAGATCAGAAGTACTATCAACCTAATTGGCATGATTGCAAGTTGCAACTATAATCTAATTTTAGATGATGCATATCTATTTAATTTCCTAAAAATAAGAATTTCCTATAAATAGGCCAAGCAATGTGTTGGCAAGGCAGCCACAACAAGATAAATTTGATGATTTGCCTTGTAAATTGTAGAAGTTAAAATTATTGGAGAATTAGTTAAGTGCATACAAGTGAGTTCCTTACTTGATCTTTATTAGAAATAGATGTGCTGGTACTAAAAGTGGAAGAATTTCCTTTACACCATGCACCAAGTTTACTTATTTTTTTAATTTATTATTACTGATTTTTTTAAACTATAATAATAATAATAATAAAAAAAAAATGAAATTTCAAGGAAAGAGAACACATGTATCCATACCAATAAGCAATTGTGTTTTCTATTATCAGTAAATAATCATAGATTGATATATTGTTACGCTAAGGATAAGTTGTGAACTCGAACTAATAATACCAATTAAATATGGTCAAACAGGCAAGATTATAATTTATTAATATCGTCCGCGCATAATGCGGGTTCTGATACCAGTTGAATTAAAACATAAGGGAATTTGAAATGGAGGTTGTTATTGCGCCTCAGAATCAAAACTGTTGAACTATGAGAATTTTTGAGAGCACCCAACGGTGTGGGCTAGTGGTCAATGAAGTGGTTGAGAACCCTAAGGTCTCAGGTTCAAAACTTAGCGGAGACAAAAATACACTAGGTGATTCCTAAGTTGAGCGGACTCTTCACTTTTGATGCCACACCCTTGTTGGATTCTCCAAAAGTAAAGTACTTTTGGAGAATTCGACACGCATCCATTGATTATTCTCATCTTTCCTAGCCTTGGTGGACAGAGTTACATGGTATATGTTGCTGGTGGGAGGTGAAAGATATCCCGTGGAATTAGTCGAGGTGCGCGAAAGTAGGCCCGGACACCAAGGTCATAAAAAATAGGATTGTCGAGTAATTATCCAAGAAAAATGATGTTGAGTACACTTACTTCAACTGCATAACTGTTTTTTATAAGTTCAACAGCATAATTGTGTAACTTATGACCAACGTTACATTTCACTAGTTCAGAATTTAGGAAATTGAATCAGCATTGAAGTGCTCCCTCTTTTTTTGATAGAGCATCCGAAAAATGCTCCACTCTCTCTAGCAAAATCAAAGCTCACATGTAACATTTCTATCACATCAAAAGCTAAATCAAACGGAATAACTATATATACAATCAACCCTATTTTGTCAGCCAACTAAACCTTTCAGGCCTCATACTACAAATTAAACAAAGAAAGTTCCAACTAGAGGATTCCAAACCACAAGCTGAAACCCAAATGAATGGCAGTGTAATTGTTGAATCACTTAATAAAGGGATTGCAAACAAGGGAGTCTGGTCCAAATGAATTTGCACCTCCTAGAAACTTTAAAAAATTCATTGTAATTATCACATGAGCTCTCTTTGTCTTTTAAACATTTCCAATCCAAAACAACAATAAAGATAGTCAAAGATGACCAAAATTCCAATAAAGAACTTCTAAAAGAATTAAAGAGGTGCACATTTTCCAACTTATTCTTGATGGGTGTCATTTATAATTTGTATGTTGACGTTAACCTAATCCAAAGCCTTGTTACCTTATAGAGTGTAGGTATAAATTATTGAGGAACACATTTCATCTGATTCCTACTAGAGTCGTTACTTTTTCTTCAATCGATGATTCCTAGCTTTTTTGGAAATTCTTTCCAATTTCTTCTACTAATATTGATACTTGGATTTGAAATTCACAATCATTGTTTTGTTTTAAGGGGATTTCTATCCATTCCGATTGATCCAAAAATGGTATGTTGTCCGATGGTTTTCATTTAGTGATATCATTGATGGATCTAACTTTGTGGTTCTATTTTTTTTTAAAAAAAAACCTATGAGGTTGTTGGTTTTAGGTTTTGATAGCGTTGATTTGTAGAAGCTAGCTTTAGTTCCTGCCCACATTTCTATGATCTAGATATCCGGTTCTATGGCATAATTTCCTACAACTTTTCTTGATCAGACTTTTTTTACCATGAAAAGGCTAGAATTTAACCTAGAGATGCACTCCATTGCAAAGAAAGGATATTTACAGCCAAAATTCCAAAACAATCAAAGAAAAAAACTGTTCGTACAAATGAATTGCACTGAGAAATACTTAATGACCTTGGAACTCCCAAAATTTCACTAAAAAACTATCACCTGCCAAATCAAAAGCTAAATCAAATAGAATAACTATACATACAATCAATCCTCTTTTATGTTCCACGTAGAGGTTTCCAAGCCAAAACGCTGAAACTCGAATGAATTGCACTGTAATTACTGAATCACTTAGAAAAGGGATTTCAAATAAGGAAACCTGTCTGGTCCAAATGAATTTGCACCTCCTATAAACTTTTAAAAATTCATTGTAATCATCAAATGAGCATTCTTTTCTTTATCTGTCTTTTCAACATTTCCAGTCCAGTACAACAAATAAAGATAAACAGAGTGATTTCTTGTACAGCTCAAACTTCCAAAACAAAAAATTACTCTAATTAATCAAATATTTTTGTCTATATCAGCGAATGAGCAAAAACCGATATGTGACTATCGATTGCCGCGAACAGAGTCTGACAGAAACAAACAGAAATTCCAAACAAATAATCACTCTAAAATCATTAAATTACTTTAATTTAAAATAAAAAAAAGAAAAAGGAAACCTGTTTGTCCATATCAGGGAACACCGATATGAGATGATCGATCACCGACGGAGTCGAGAAGGATGGCGGCGGAGAAAACGAAGACGGAGAACAACGGATCCTCTTCGGGACCGGCGGCGGAGACGGCGATGACTGCAAATCTTCAAAAAAATTGGATCTCTTACCGCACACCACAGCAGACATGTTGCGCCAAAAAATCAAATTCCCCTCAACAACAACAATTCTTCTCCCACCGCCTCGCTCATGCAGATTCCAAATATACCAATTCCAAAAACCACAAAAAATTTTAAAAAATCAGATTTTTCTCCGATTCTTCTCAAATTCCTCCCAACAACAACAAAAAATAAAAAAAATCAGATTTCTCTCCGATTGTTCCAATGTATATAAAAAATTTATCTGTATGAATACATTATTAAAAATAATTAGGTTTTTTATTTCTTTATCGCCTCTTTTTTTTTTTATGAGATAAAGATAGGTTTTGTAATAGCTTTTGGAAGCAAAAAAATAATCTGAAAATAGCAAAGTAAGATAAAATAACAAGGAGTTTCAGTATATTATGGTGAAGGACAAGTAATAAGATGACACGTGTTATGTGGTAATGACGTGGAGACATATGATTTGTTGTTTGTTTTTTACGTCACGCTTTTATACTGTTTCGCTGCGTTTTATAATTAGCTTTGGTAGTTGAACGACAAGCGGTGGCTTCCTTATTTGGTAAAGCTAGTGTGTAAGGTGAGGCATTTATAATTGGGAAAAAAAACCAAAATAGTCTTAACTATTATTTTGAATTTAAGGAGCTGGAGTTTATTTGGTTGTAGGGAAGAATATTTGAAATCATGTTATGATTTCAGAAGTAAAAATAAATTAGAAAACATGTTATTAGATGGGGTAAAATTTCGACTCAACAGTTAGACGAATTAATATATGATACATGGTGAGAAGAAGACATATTAATCGTGATGTCTTGAGGATGCCCTCGGATCAAATGTTTGATTGTGTCTGGTAAGGTTTGTCTTGTTTGCAGAGACCTGAAATGGAACCAGGGTCAAGTCAATGACCAGTTAGGATAAGCTCATAGTACAATCGTTACGTAAGAATCTACGATTCTATATTTTAGTTGCACACTCTATGATGTAATATTAAAATACAAATTACTATAGGTGTGAATTTCACGCAAGGTAATTATCTAGAGTTTAGTTTACATATATATTCAACCCCTTGTTTGTATCTCATTTCAATATTCTCCACTCACAACCCATTACTCTTAATAACTATAAAGGAATATATAGTTCCCAAACTCTTAAATTACTTATACACTCTATTGTGTATTAAGGTGTGCATTACTAATACATAAAAATATTAGTGATGCAAGGGCTTTTAATGTATGCATTAACATTTCCATACCCCTTTCTTACCATAGAGCCGTCAATCAATTTGTTAGGGGTTCACTAGTATATATATATTTAATTTTCTAAACAAAAAAACTATTGGTTCGTCCGAAACCACGAACCCACACTTAGCTCTGCCCCAACTCTGATGATATAAAGGATGAATAAATAGTGGTTTAGTGAATACAACAAGGGAGGAGTGGATAAATAGGTTGAGTTGTGGGTCCGATCACATTAAAAATATAGAAAAAATTACTTGGATGAGTATCTTTTAATAAATAATTATTGATTTTAGCGATATTTTTTTATTTATTACCATTTATAGCAATACACATCAAAACTATGTTAAATCTGCAATATGTATTAAAATTGAATTATGTATGCAATATATATGTATTATAACTGTTTTTCTTAAATAGATTATGTTTGTTTGGTAAGAAATTGACACATTGTATTATAAGTGTATTAAAATGTGTGATAAATGTATAATCCATCAATAAAACTTGTATTATAGTATGTGAATAATAAATTGTTCTTTGTAATATATATTAAAATTGTATTATAAATATATTAAAGGTGATCAAGAGAAAAAAAATATTATTGCTAAAGATAGTAAACATTTTTTTTAATATAGTATATTTATGTAAGTATCCCAATTATATTGGGTTCGATCCAATTTAAATAAACATTTGCATCCAATTTGTATAGTGTCCCTAAGAAATTAAGTACTACTTATATAGTGCTTATGTATTAAACCATCACTCCAAACTAAGCTTATATTACCCGCGGGAGATTATAATCCCATTGCCAAAATTCCTCACTAATGGCATTAAAACAACTTTTATTTCTACACAATCCATACATTCCATCGCCGGCGTCGTGTTCCTCTCGCCGGAAAAATGCATCGGCAGCTACTTCTTCGACTAGCAATTCAATACTTCAACACCCGATGTTATTGTCGAAGGACATTGACAAATTCAAACCACTGGATTTCCCTAAGAACTCCACCAGGAAGTTGAATCGCTCTGTTACTACTATCAGATCTCAATTGAATTTTCCCATTATTTCTCCGCAAGATCAATGGGGAACTTGGACTGTTCTCTTCGCTACCGGCGCTTTTGGCATTTGGTAATCAACTCACTCATCCATGTGTGTGTATTATTCCTGTCCAATTTGTGTTACATTTTTTGTTTTTTCGAGATTTGAACTATGTGAACTTTAACCTAACATTTTAAGTATATTTTTTCATCTTTTCGCAACTTACAAATGAGATTTTTGAATCCTGTGATCTTAGATTTTTGGGGTCCTAAACTTGCAATATTGGAATTGGAAAACTTAGCAAATCGAAAAATGCACTCTTTTTGGAACAGATCAAAATGGAAAGTAAGACACTAGGAGTGGGAGTAATATTTATGGTATAGTTTTTTGAGAGGCACAAGAGCTAACAAAGAGTATTTATATTTGACTGCCTTAAAGCAATGGGGGGATTGAATTGAAAAGGCCCCTTAATATAGATAGTGTGTTGCCTATGTTTTTTCTGAAATGACTAATAAGTGCAAGTTCTAGTTAATGACCTGAAAGAAGTCACTAGCTTCTTGCTATTGAGCGTGGCTTAGCCTTAGTTTACAAGGAAGTTTTTTGGTACTTAGGATTTTAATTTTAAAATATTGAGATGATCTAATACAACTTAGGTTCAAAGATAACGAAAAGTGCCACAGAAGTTGGGACAGAGAGAGTACTTTTTTTTACAATCATGGACGAAAGACTTGAAGTTTCAGATTTTATAGTTATATGCAGCTTGTTCTTATGAAAATTGAAGGTCGGAGAAGACCAAGGTTGGGGCTGCACTAAGTGGTTCACTAGTAAGTGTACTGGTTGGTCTAGCAGCAAGTAACTTGGGCATTATAGCTAGTGAAGCTCCAGCATATAAAATCGTGACAGGATTCTTGCTTCCACTTGCTGTTCCCTTGCTGTTGTTTAGAGCTGATATGCGTAGAGTATTGAAGTCCACTGGAACACTGCTCTTGGCCTTTTTGCTTGGATCAGGTAATGGCCTGCTTCATATTTTCAGAACAACTTATGGCATATCTGCTGGAATGATCAGTTCAAATTTTATCCTTAGAATGGTTCACAGACTTGTTTATTCTTTCTTTCAATAGCTAAATGAGGATAGGAAACAAGAGCAAGGCTTATAAATAGGGTAGAATCTATAAAGGATATATATCAAATCCAGTAAACTTCTTTCCCTTGTATTTTTCGTCCAAAAAAGAGGAAACAAGGGAAGTCCTTCTCCTCCATCAAATCTCCCTCCCTCTATACAAAATACAACTTTGATGTCTAGTTTTGTTCATTAACACATTAGAATTTAGTTAATTCTACCAGGAAAATGATATTGTCAATAATCTTCAGTAACACTTAAAGTTAAAGCAATGTGATGTTAGGTTTGTCTACTACATCTACAATTTGAAAGGCTTCTCTCTGAAGTCCAGGAAACCTAACCTCTATAACATAAATCAGTTGATGCTTACTACCAGAGATACTGAAATATCTTACGTATATGCTGGGTAACGTTGTAATCAATGGTATCATTTCAACAGGTATGGGAACCAAACACTATATCCCATTGAAAAGCAGATTTGCCTTATGACCTTGTGTCTGGTATGCCAATAAACCAAGCTTCCATCTTTTTCAGCATTCTTCATGTTGCTTATACATAACGCAAATTTCTCCTTAAATATTTATGCGTCTTTAAAGATCTCTGTTAAGAACTTGGCACAGTTCTTAGATTAGTTTGGAAAAAGCTAACATGAGGACACTTGCCAGTTAAAAAGTACTAGAAGCTACAGGTTGTTATTTATGCGGAGAAAGGATGAAATAATCTGCTCCCAAGATACTAGCTTAGAACACGAGATTCATCAACCTGATGCTACTTGACAAAAAGAGGGGAGTTAGACTTTGTTGCAAAATTTTGGTGCTTTACTCTTTTCTATTGATCAGGTAGATCTTATTGAACTGGCTAGTACCATGCAGGTAATAGGTAATTACAAATTTTGAGTATTCTACTCTTACCAGCATTTTTGATAAGTTTAACTAGAGCAATCAGATTTCCTTCTGTGAACAGACCATCATCCTTGTGCTATTCCACTTTGCTGGGTTCACCTTACTTATTTTGGATTATACTTATGTGGGACAGTGAAACATAGAGGTCCCCAGAGCCAAGTGAAGTGGAGCGCTTTAAGGCCTCCTACGGTAATGAAAATTATCATATATCCTTAAATCTTTTCGGAAAAAAATAATCAAAAATCAAAATATCTGACATCTTTTTGGTATAATTGTGATGCCTAACTTCTGACTAGACTATGTAATTTTGTTATTTTCATCGTCTGAATATCGAGAAGCACAGATATATCAGTCGTCACAACCCATTTTCATGAGCCGCGACAGGTACCTAACAAGCTGCTGCCCACTAGCCGAACCACTACTATTCACTCTTTCATATACGATTAAACCAAAATGGAAGCATACTCTAGATGAGAGACTAGATCTTAACAACATAAGTAAAAATAGTCGATACACAATCTAGAACCAACCATAACCCAACAGACACAGTCAAGGGGCATCTAATAGAATCCGGGTGCAAAAGATCTAGGGATGCAATCCAAAAACAGAAATGTAATGAAATAAATTAGACAAACGCCAGCACGAACAGATGTGGTCGGCTCAGCTGAAGCTCCGGACGGCGAATGCCTTGAAGTAGATCAAGTATGTATTGGGATAGCGAATCTGCATAGAGCAGTAGGTATGAGTATGAGTCACAAGGACCCAGTAAGATCATCGATCCGCTCCTCCCTCATACCCCGATGAGCAAGTCTTCAACAATAGAATGCATGAAAGAAAATAGTGCACATCTCAGTCTATAAATAACCATAGCAGGTATCTAATGATATCAAGCACGTATGTACACTAGGCCCTCATGGTTGGGAGCACTAGACTAATCCATAAGCCCTGTG